TCCCTCCCATGCCAGCCGCAGGACTCCTCCTGGCTCTTTGAACCTGCTGTGCCCTCTGCACCTGCCCTTGCCCACAGCCTTGTTCCTCACACAGTGAGCCACTCACAGGCTATCACTATCTGGCTCTCCTGTGCTTTGGTAGAAACACTGTGCAGTTACTTCAGGGTTATCCATTTCTTCTCCCTCCCCTGAGGCACGGCCATTTGTAGGGCGTTCCCAGCCCTACACAGGGTGCCCAGCGCTGGGGTCCAGGGTGTGGTTTGGAGTAGCGGGAGGGGTGGAAGGGAGGTGGACAGGGGAGTGAGTGAGTGTGTTGGGGCTCATAGAGGACAGTGATTTAGTAAGTCTCTGCTACCGTCCCTTACATGTATCCTCTCGTCCTGTGCAGAGGCCACGTAAGAGTAAGTGCTCAGATATCCTGATTGTATAAAGAACGAAGCAGAAGCTCAGAGAAGCCCCACCACCTGGCTCTGGTCACACAGCCAGCCTTGTTGTGTCACGCCAGTCTCTAGCCCAGGTGGCCCGATTGTAGAGTAGGACTGTCCCTGCTGAAGTGTTTTCAGCTGCCTCTCAGCCCATCATAAAGACGATGTAATTAGGGCCACCCAGACCCAGGAAAACAATATATGAGGCCCAGCTGCTGGCAGCCAGCGACTTGACCCCTACGATGCGCTGTCTGGAGGCCTGGAGTCTACTCTTGTCTCCCAGGGCCCCTACTCTGTCTCCCTGGGGTTCCCACTGTCTTCCCAGGGTCCTGGCTCTGTCTTCTGGGGGTCTGTGCTCTGTGTCCTGGGGTGAGCAGTGCCTGCTCTGTTTCTCTGCGGTGAATGAATGAGGCCCGTGCCCCAAGCCCCTGCTGGTGGATTGCGACTCCACCCAGCACAGTCCAGCCACTGAACCACAAGCAGTGTTGCCATGTCCCCAGCTGGCTGGGGCTGCTGTGTGCATCCGCGCCTGCACTGAGTCTGGTTCATCCACTAGTGTTGTCGCCTGATCAGGTACAGCCTCTGAGCACCCCAGCTGTTCTGTTGCCATGGCTACCTGGTAGGCCTGGGAGGGCAGGAGGGGGTGAGGGGCACTTGCTGGGAAGGCCTGGAGGCTCCGGGTCCAGCTCCAGCTGCCCTCGCTACCCTCCGTGCACAGCTGAAGGGCAGGGTATGATGGGTCTGACTGCTGGGTAAGCAAGCCAATGAGTGACATTTGGCCATTCTACTAATAGAACAGATTAGTGGTAGGGGGTTGGTTGGCAAGACCCTACTTTTAAGAAGAGAATTACTTTCAATGGGGAAAAAGGCAGTGGTGTTTCCTTCTTGTTCTTAGAAGTGAGAGGCACACACTGCGCACAGGCACACTCGCTCCAAAGTTTTATTCTGCCTCGTGCAGGATGGGTTTGCAGTGCCAGTAAAGGAAGGGAAGATTTCATGAGAACCGTTAATGACTTCCAGTTTTAGAAACAATCAAAAATAATTGCGTGATTTAAACATCTAGCAAGCTCAGGTGTTTCCAGCCTCCGCCTTGCTCTCCTGCTCTCTGCCTGCCCTCACCAGGCCCGCAGCTGCATTGCCTGTGCCCGAGAGCCAGGCAGCTGGGCTGCTGCATGCCCCGAGGACTCCAGCCCT